ACCTAGTGGAACGGAAAATACAGGGTGTCCCCAAAAAAAGCTGACGATGTTTGATCGTTACTAACTCTTTATGTGAATCTTTCAAACACCTTAGTTTACTTTGAAAGGCTAGTTTGAGCTTGGACTTCTGTCTTTGAAGGGACTATCTAATTCCGTTATGGTAGGATTACAGTATAATGTTGAATGCTGCTTCAGCAGTGTGAGGCATTATCAACATTAGGCCAGAACTCTTGGCAATTGATACTGTAAGGTTCCGTGTCAAATACGGTTAGTGCTTTGCCGCGAGACTCCGCATTGAGAGGTTCTTCCCAGTGCTGCTCATTTGGAATCATTGGCGAGATTAGCTTTACGAAGAAAATTTTTCCAAATTGTCTTGTTTTAACGCTTGTAGATCAAATAGACATAAATAGATCTAACTTGTGCAAAAGTAATGAATTATCACTTCTTAAAAGCATACAAATCAAGACTACTTGACAAATGAATTGAATATCATAGCACTCATCGCGTCTCTTGGAATATCTATTCATACATCCTGACCCCAACTCTAAAGAGCATGGCACTAATTCGAAATAGGAACGATATTAATATTAAATTATCATTATAAATACCCTCTTTCTTGAAGTATCAAAAGATTTCTAATTGCAATTAAGAACATTTGGTACATTTTGAGATTGTTTTTCTGACATTCAAGCTAGAACTCGCCAATTAATTACTAAGATCTGTAAAATTTCTCTAGTAAATGAGTTATAGGGGCCTAAAAACTAGGAATGAACTTTGAAACAGTTCCAGAGCGTCTTCTTCAACACTTTTACAATCAAATGCTTCTCAAAAACATTGGCATTGACACTTTCTTTGCAGCAACCACTTAATCAAAGATATCGATGCCGTGTTCACCGTGATAAGAACAAGTCTGCATTCTTCTATCTCACGAGGGAATAAAGAGTATTCAGCTGAAGTGGCGAATAAAAAACGATCTAGACTGACATATATAAGTCGAAACGTTGCCTTTGAATATGTCTCCCTCATGTGTCAAGAAAATTCGAAGG